ACATCCTCATGTCGAGTCTGTTGGTGGAAACGGTTGTTACGGAAAGCAGTGTGAGGTTACAACCACCGCCATGCTCCCCTCTAATAATAAATACTTTGCTATGCACGCTTTGCAATGAAGACAACTCCCTTCTAAAAAGAGAACGAGGATTTCGGCAGGTCTGTGTCATCCAAGACCCAAATGTCAGCTATCAGTAGCTGATTAACAGCAGGGAATACAGCTGTGTGGGCCACTTAGGCCACAAGCACAAGGGATAAGAGACTTATTTTTATGAGGGTTTCAATGGCGCCGAGGTACTCAATGGTGCAATTCAGGAGATGGATGCAGCTAATCACATAGCACCCGATATATCTGCGGTAGAAGTGTCCAAGTCCTTCTTACATCACCATCTTGTGCCCATAATTCTGCCACCGTTCTACATACAGCCCTTAAAGAGGATCTTTCAATTTAAAAAACTACTAAATAGCCTACAATATTTACATTGTACATCCAGGCATTACCCAAACAGCCCTCTCCCCCTTTAGGTCTTGTTCCAGCATTAGGCTGGCCATAGACGGGCCGTTTATCGGCCAATAAACGAAAAATCAGTCGTTGCTGCCATGGATGCTGCCACCAATGCTCACGAAAAATGGCTGTTTTTCGTGGATTTTCTAGCATGAGTGATAAAAAGAAACAAGAAGATCCCTGAAAAACAACCAACGGCATTTCCCCACTAACGGCGTGAATATCGGCCGATTTTTCGTTCGGACGAAAATTTGGGTTAAAAAACGACCCATCTAGGGCCTGCAAAAGTCTTTTATACGTTGTTTTGTAGCACAAAGCTGCTATTATTACTCCTGGTTATGTCATCACCAAACGTGTAAAAATTCTTTTAGTGGCAGCTGCTAGGAGATTAGTTCCTACAGATGTAAAACACAACCCCAGAACTACATCCCCCAGGAGCCCTTTTCCTACACAGTGTGTGGGCAGGCAGTGTGGGGAGTCAAGGCAGCCGCATTTTTGGTGGGAAAGAAATCAATGGGGTTGATTTACTAAAATTGGAGAGTGCAAAATCTGGTGCAGCTGTGCATAGAAACCAGATTTTTAACTTCAGCTTGTTCCAATTATGCTTTGACAAAAAACAAAACTGGAAGCCAATTGATTTTTATGCAGAGCTGCATCAGATTTTGCACTCTCCAGTTTTAGTAATGTGTGCAAGTGGAGTAAAATAAACAAGAGCATGGGGTAGGCTGCGCTCTGTAGTCCAGCAGGAATGGCTGACAACACAGCTTGACATTTCAAGACAGCAGAGGCATTGTGTTGTCAGCTCAAACAGAAAGTTAGAAGCTCTCTGGATTTCTGGCTGATGAACTGGTATTTTTCTATACTTGCAGCACATTTAAAGAAGATGTACCCAACCATTCATATTCCCGATATGTGCCTGCTGCACCATGTACTTTTTAGAAACAGTATCCTGTTCTCTTTGTATTGCTTCCTTAGTGTGAAATGCCTGGTGTTCCTGCCAGTCACTCAGTTTCCTTTTAAAAACTGACCCCACAAGAGGCATGAAAGTACAACATGGTGAGTTTTTCACTTCTAAAACAGGGAAAAAAAAGCTATTTTATAGTATGTTTTACATACAGTTTTTTATATCTATACACAAATATTTTACCTTTCATTTCTATTTTAACCTGAATGGATTGTTTTACAAGATTAGAATATTTACATTTACTTTAATGAGACAAAACATGGGAAAATGTGTATGTGTTTCAGAGAATATATTTTGTTCTTTTTTTGACCCGACATACACAAACTGGAAGCAACCATTACTTTTAGTGGTGAATATGTGACCAAATGCTGGCTTCCAGTGACCAAAAGAGAGGAGACCCGCTGGAGAGCAACGGAGCATCAGAGTTCCACTAGCAGAGGACCAAACACGATTTCTTCTGCACTCTAGGACCCAGGCGGGTGGCAAATAGATGGAACCAGAACTGGAAAAAAGCGACCACCAGTGCATCAAAGGTTGTGCAGCTCCAAACAAGGCTGGGGAAGCCCGACCAACACTACAAAGCGAAACAAAAACAAGAAGCGCGCAAACCTTGCGCATTACCTCAGTAAACAAAAATTTATTAATAAGAAAGGTACTCACAAACAGCGAATAAAATCAGGCATGTAAGTCCTCACAGGGACTTCAAAGATAAGGAGCCAGCGCGAGTCCCATCGTGGGGGTAGACACTCCGTTCATCTGACGTGTTTCGAAGGCCAAACCTTCTCTGCTCTGATGAAGGTGGTTTGGCCTTCGAAACGCGTCAGCTGAACTGAGTGTCCACCCCCACGATGGGACTCGCTCTGGCTCCTTATCTTTGAAGTCCCTGTGAGGACTTACATGGCTGATTTTATTCGCTGTTTGTGAGTACCTTTCTTATTAATACATTTTTTGTTTACTGAGGTAATGCGCAAGGTTTGTGCGCTTCTCGTTTTTGTTTCGCTTTGTAGTTCCACTAGCAGAGCCATGTTGAGCCCTGTGCTCCACATACGAGGATTTTGGGGCAACTAAAGTTTCCACAGGGATCTCTTATACGAGTTTATAATTGTGAAATTCTGTACTAGATTCACTGTAATCTAAAATAGGTTAATTGGCTCCTACCTAAATTTGTCCCTAGTATATGTATGTATGAATGTGAGTTAGGGACCTTAGATTGTACACCCCTTGAGGGTTAGAGAATGATCTGAATGTAATATATATGTAAAATGCTACTTAAATTGATGGTGCTATATAAGTACCTGTAATAAATACATAATAAAATAAAGAAGACATGTCATAGAGAAAGGCCATGGTTGAATTTTGGAGAGGAAAAAAAAGGGAAAGGGGGACAATGGTTGGGGGAGGAACGGTCTCAGATCTAATACACTATATCGGACAACAGGTGGCACGGCAAAGTTATATGGACACCAAACCATCAGTTTCTAGGAGAGTAGGAGTGCGAATACTTGTGAGTGTTCTTTGTAAGTCAATTTTTTTTTCGGTTTTAGGTTTATAGTTCCTCTTAACATAGTACAGCTTTTTCCAGTTCACCCCTGTAGCTTCTCGGGGAAATTTACAGCGAGTCACACTTGGTCTTCACGGCGTGAATTGCAAGCTTGAGAAACTCTCCCTTTTTTTATTTTGCCCCGGTCTATATTTGTTTTTTAAGAAAACGATTCTCACTTCTGATATTTTCTTTGGGTGGAGGACGTACGCGAAAAGGAACATAATATTTTTTCAGTAAATATGGAGGACAAATGTGTTAAGTGTCAAGAAGTTACGGCCTGAGGTTCAACTGCGCGTTTAAATATGCATCTGAACAGCAGAAGAGTCGCCAAAAAAATCTATTCCATAGTCAGCCAGATCTGATTAATATGATTTGCGGAGACCCAGGTTCTTTGGGTAAAGACAGACAAACCTTAAGTCCAAAAGCTCCTATTATTCACACTACTTTGACCCATTACATAACTGCAAATGTTAGGAGTTTAAAGAGAAAGGCCAGTAATTTAAAAACATGGATAGTTTGGGGAGGGTTATTTCTAAGAAATTAGGGAAATTCCCCTTTTAGACATTTGTCACTGGAACAGGTGTGCCCTTCGGAACATCTTCTCTCATCTCCTGTTGTGGTGACAACGCTCAAAATCTGGTTTTCTCCATAAAATGGTCAACAGGTCAATGAGGGCAAATCTCTCAACTTCAGGATTGTCTGACCACAGCAATATATGTAATAGATTTGAATTGCACCCACAACTGCACTGTTGATTTTGTTCCTGTTTGCCTCTATTGCTGTATACAGTTCTTTAGAGCAGTGGTTCTCATACACAGGGCCATGGGCCCACTGCCAAGGCTGCAACCTTCCTCCTGCTGGTCCTCCAGTTATTTGCAGATCCCCAAACCTCACACAGTGCCACCCAACCTCTCATAATAACCTACAGTACCCCTCAATCTCCCACAGTGCCCTCAGACCCCGTAAGAACCCTCAGTCCTTGTCATCCTCCCACAATACCCCCCCCCCCCCCCCTCCCCCCAGGAGTGCCCTCTACCTTGATGCAGAGCCTCCAGCCTCCCAAAGTGTCCCAAAATGCTCCCAAGCCCCCTGCAGTGCCTTACAGTCTCCCACATTCACCCTGCAATACCACCAGTCCTTTTGAGAAACCCTCAACCACTTTCAGAGATCACCAATCTTCACTGTTGCCCTCAGCTCCCTCCAAAACCCTTATTCCCTACAGACTCACCAAGTCTGCTGTACTCTCTCCTAACCCGAGGAAGAACCTTCATCCCCAAAATATATTGTTGATGCATGTAAGGTATTGGAAGAATTTACAAGGAATTAGTCTCAACAAAGTAAAGAACCACTGCTTTAGAGCAGCCTTTCTGAACCAGAGTGCCCAGGCACCCTGGGGTGCCTTGAGGTTTCTTTAGGGGTGCCTTGGCAAAATGTCTAAAAGTTGCCTAAAACTTGTATACAAGCCAGTGGGTGGAAGAAGCCTGACTTTTAGTTACACAAAGCCACAGTTTTTCATTGTGCACCAGTACGACCTTCTAGCCACCGATGTCCTGACAACCAATGACATCAGTTGATAATGAGCATACTTGTTTGACCCTCCCCCGCCCTTCTCCGTCAGTGCTGGGGTCACATTAGCTCAGTGATAGAGAAAAACTGAGAGAAAACACTGGAATACTACTCAGGACCAGTGTGCAAACGTGTATTTGATTTGGAAGAATAAATCACCTCTAGCGTTGGGTGTCCTACATGTGTGGATGTTGCTGCGTTATATAAAACTATTATAATTTTTTACATTTTAGAATGGGGTGCCTCAAGACTGTCCATAATTTTAAAAGGGTGCTCAGGACTGTCCATAATTTTAAAGGGTGCCTCAGGACTGTCCATAATTTTAAAGGGTGCCTCAGGACTGTCCATAATTTTAAAGGGTGCCTCAGGACTGTCCATAATTTTAAAGGGTGCCTCAGGACTGTCCATAATTTTAAAGGGTGCCTCGGGACTGTCCATAATTTTAAAGGGTGCCTCGGGACTGTCCATAATTTTAAAGGGTGCCTCAAGACTGTCCATAATTTTAAAGGGTGCCTCAAGACTGTCCATAATTTTAAAGGGTGCCTCAGGACTGGCCATCATTTTAAAGGGTGCCTTGACTGAAAAAAGGTTGAGAAACACTGCTTTAGTGTACCTGTGGCATCATTCCTTTTGGGGGGGCAGGAGCCACAGGGACCGGTCTTGGAAGAATAAATTACCTCTAGCATTGGGTGTCCTACATGTGTGGATGGTGCTGTGTTATATAAAACTATTATAATTTTTTACATTTTAGAATGGGGTGCCTCAAGACTGTCCATAATTTCAAAGGGAGCCTCAGGACTGTCCATAATTTTAAAGGGTGCCTCAGGACTGTCCATAATTTTAAAGGGTGCCTCAGGAATGTCCATAATTTTAAAGGGTGCCTCAGGACTGTCCATAATTTTAAAGGGTGCCTCAGGACTGTCCATAATTTTAAAGGGTGCCTCAGGACTGTCCATAATTTTAAAGGGTGCCTCAGGACTGTCCATAATTTTAAAGGGTGCCTCAGGACTGTCCATAATTTTAAAGGGTGCCTTGACTGAAAAAAGGTTGAGAAACACTGCTTTAGTGTACCTGTGGCATCATTCCTTTTGGGGGGGCAGGAGCCACAGGGGCCGGTCTTGTGTGGGGAGGATCAGAGGATTAGGTAAGTACATCACCATTCTCCTCTCCCCTAGACAAAAGTGTGCAGCTGACCCGTGCAGTTTGGGCGCAGCCCCAATACATGGGAAAAGAGTTTTTTTTTTTGCCTTGAGTTGGGCTTTAATTTAGAAAAAGGCAACTGTTCCTAATACACAGTGTTTTAGCAAACTAAATATCACTTAGGGTGTACATCTACTTTAAAAGTCAATTTCTTTAACATTTAGTTAAAAACCAGAAACAAGACCATATGTTCACTAGGGACAAAGGCAATCAAACAATCCCCAAGCGTATTCACCAGTCACTGTGGTAGTGGTTGATGTATTTGCAGTGCATGTTGATGGATATGTACAATATTAATATTCACAACATGTGTGCATAACATGTCCTTATCATTGATTCATGCATAATTTACTAGTAATTAGTTTACTGGTACGGAATGACGTCGGGCCCCAATCCTTCGAGAGTGGCAGCCTTGGAAAAAGCCAGATCTGAGGTTCCCAGCGCTTGGTTGGTATGAAGCGCTCACTTGCTGGACTGCCTGGCGGAAATCCTCTCCCCCATCTAGCATCCCTCAGGAGACTCTGCAGCAATAAACACACACATCCCCGCCGCTACACACAGAATTTATAATTAGGAGGCTCTCCAGGATGTAAATGGAGCAGCCGTGGACAGCAGCGCTGCAAATGTGCCCTGGCTCTAGCTGTTAAAGGGTCAGTCCACCAAACATTGGGACCGTTTTTCAGCACCTATTGTAGAGCTATGCATGCCTCCAGCATCTTACCTCTTAAGGGGTCCAGCGTTTCCTTATTTATTTGTGAAGCTGGGTGGGATGCCAATATGCAAAGGAACAACCTATACCAGACATACAGAATCGTTTTTTTTAGCTGTCACCACTCTGTTTTAACCCTTTGACTGCAAAGCAAATGCTGCACAGCTTGTCTTCATTCCCTCTCCGAACATATATATGGAATGCATTGAGGAAAATAAAGAAGTTCTGTCAACTTAAAAAATTGAAGGGAATAAAAAAAAAAAAAAAAAATTTTTAATTGTTTATTTGCATCATTTTTTCCTTTCTATAAATATATTTTTAATCACTTGCAACGAGCAGTTGAACTTAGATTGTAAGCTCCAAGGATCAGGGCCCTCCTTTTCCTCTTGTATTGAACTGTATTGTTGCTGTATTGTCTCCCTTTATATTGTAAAGCTCCCTTGTCTCCTCCTCCCATGCTCATCTCCAGGACTTCTCCAGAGCTTCCCCCATCCTGTGGAACTCTCTACCCCAATTTATCAGACTATCGCTTAATATACCCACTTTTAGGCGATCTCTGAAAACCTCTCTCTTCAGGGAAGCCTATCCTGCCCTCAGCTAATAACGGAATCTTCTACTCTTCCTACCAGTCCATCCCCCACAATTACTACCTTTTGTACCACTAGCCCCTCCCTCCTAGATTGTAAGCTCCAGGAGCAGGGCCCTCCTATCCCTCTTGTATTGAACTGTATTGTTGCTGTATTGTCTCCCGTTATATTGTAAAGCGCTGAGCAAACTGTTGGCGCCATATAAATCCTGTATAATTATTATTATTATACAGGATGTATATATTATTAGGATTTATATATTATTATTATTATTTTATATAGGATTTTATATTATTATTATTATTATACAGGATTTATATATTATTATTATTATTATACAGGATTTATATATTATTATTATTATACAGGATTTATAGATTATTATTATTATACAGGATTTATATAGCACCAACAGTTTTCTCAGCGCTTTACAATATAATGGGAGACAATACAGCAACAATTCAGTTCAATACAAGAGGAAAAGGAGGGCCCTGATCCTTGGAGCTTACAATCTAGGAGGGAGGGGCTAGTGGTACAAAAGGTAGTAACTGTGGGGGATGGACTGGTTGGAAGAGTAGAAGATTCCATTATTAGCTGAGGGCAGGATAGGCTTCCCTGAAGAGATAGGTTTTCAGAGATCGCCTAAAAGTGAGCAGAGTAGGCGACAGTCTGATAAATTGGGGTAGAGAGTTCCAGAGGATCGGGGAAGCTCTGGAGAAGTCCTGGAGATGAGCATGGGAGGAGGAGACAAGGGAGCTTTACAATATAAAGGGAGACAATACAGCAACAATACAGTAACAATACAGTTCAATACAAGAGGGATAGAAGGGCCCTGATCCTTGGAGCTTACAATCTAGGAGTGATAACTTGCCAGACAGACTAAATGCTTTGAATTTTTGGCATTGTTTGGCTCCTTTTTAAATTAGAACAACAGAAAGCATCCAAATGGCTCTGATCGAAAGTTTCCCTCCCCGGGAATGTTTGGCCTTCGTACAGACACACAAGGTGACACACTCAGGTTAAAATGGCAATTAAAAGGTTAATTTTCCACATCTGTGGCTTTTTAAATTGCAATTCGTGTCCGTGTATAAATAGTCAATGAGTTTGTTAGCTCTCACGTGGTTGCACTGAACAAGCTAGTGAGCCACAGGGAGCAAAAAAGAACTGTCAAAAGGCCTGTGTAACAAGGCAATGGAAAATTATAAAGATAGAAATGGATATAAAAAGATATCCAAAGCCTTGAATATGCCAGTCAGTGCTTTTCAATAATTTATTAAGAAGTGGAAAGTTCGGGGATCCTTGATACCATGCCAAGGTCATGTAGACCAAAGTTGCAGCCACAACTGCCAAAATAATTGTTCAGGATACAAAGAAAAACCCACAAGTAACCTCAGGAGAAATTCAGGCTGCTCTGGAAGACGGTGTGGTTGTTTCAAGGAGCACAATACAATGATACTTGAACAAAAATGAGCTGCATGGTCAAGTTGTCAGAAAGAAGCCTTCAGTGCACCAGTGCCACAAAAAAGCCCGGTTACAATATGCCCAACAACACCTTGACATGCCTCACTGGGCTTCTTTGTGGCATTGGCGCACTAAAGACTTCTTTCTTTTGTGGATTATTGATCAATGGAAAACTGTAACATGGCCCAATGAATTAAGCGTCACACTGCTCCCAACATCCGGACGGGTTTATGTGTGGAAAACCCTCTCCCAAAGCTTAAGACCAGGACAGTCTTCTGCCAATGGTAAAGCATGGTGGCCACGCAATCATGGTTTGGGCAGCCATGGCTTGGTATTCAGCAGGAACAATCATCACTTTGAAGGGTAGAGTCACTCCCAGTGATGTACAAATTTTGGTCGACCATGTGCACCCCATGATGGAGAACTTGTTTTCCAAAGACAGCACCATTTACAAAGACGATAATGCTCCAATTCACACAGTTGGTGTTGTCAAACCATGGCTTGACCAGCATGCAGATGAAGTCCAGCACCTACCCTGGGTGCCGCAGTCACTGACCCTCAATATCATAGAGCCATACAAAATTGTGAATACAAATTCTCAGAGCACCATGGGTTAGCTTAAAGTAGAATTCCATGCAAAAACCTAACTACCTAAATGCTCCTATACTTGCTTATCTTAACCACTGTAGTCCCGTGATCCGGCTCCCCTGTGTCAGCCAACAGCCGATGCAGGAGAGAGGAGGGAGCACTGACAACTGATGGGACATAGGAGTGCACGGGTGATGTTACTGCTCGCGGGCATTACCAGCAGCTGACATTACCAACCCCCCAAATGATAGAGGAGATCAAGTAACCGGACCAGAGTGGCCTGAAAATTGGCAAGTGCACAGCTCTTTCTTACACAAGTATCAGGAGGTGGAAGGGAGCATTTTTGAAAGTAGTGAGGTTTTGCAAGGAATTCTACTTTAAAAGTCGTTGTAAAACTCTGAAATTTAGAAAAAAAAAACAAAAAAACAGTGTGTACTAGCCTCAATCCAAAGCACAGTGTCATTTCTCTCTCCTCTATCTTGCCCCATCTACATTAATCACTTCTGACAAGTTCTCTTGACACCACAGAATCTCCGGAGACGGCCCCACCCCCCTTTCAGCACACAGAGGGGCGATTGACTGCCTCAGCTGTGCATGTTTCCCTATAAGGCTGTGTAGAGGGGGATGTGTCCTTTCCGTCAACTCAGGTCTCAGATTACACTCAGCTCCCTGATCTATGCTGTGCAGTGTCTGAAATCAGATTCCTGCCCCCTGCTTGTTGGAGCTGAGAAATAGCCTTTGATCTGTGTTTTTTAGAAGGCTGATGAAAAGATAAAAGGGCTGCAAATAAATAGGTACAACTTATGTAGAAGAATTGGTTTCATCTCTGTGCATCACCTGAGGCTTGTCATTTCAGTGGGTATATGTAACGGCTTACAACCATTCGAAAAGGAGAACTTCATCCCACTGTGTTAATTCTTTTTGCAGTCTCTTCTTACTTTTTTGCTGGGGTATCCTCCATTCACATACTCACATGCCCAGCGAACCCAGCTTTGTTTTGCAGTTCTCTGCTGGTCAAGAATAAACAGTGGCGTACACACCTAGTGCATTATCCAAGGTTTACTCAAAGGTATAAAGGATAAAAAACATACAGGCGAAGCGTGTCTAAAAAGCATTTGCAGTATGAAGATGGCCACAATGGCAAGCAAGGTGTTTTCCAAATGCGGTCAAATTGCTGACCGCGTTTCGGGATGAGTCCCTTTCCTCAGGGCTGCTGACCAGCCTGCATGAAGGTCAAGCGGTAAAATAACCTGCTGCCTTGGGAGCAGAGCGCCACCTCCAACTTGTTACAGGGCAAGGAGTTAGATGGGGTTATTTAAAGTGCAATATTTGGTAATTCATATAAACACCACACACACCTATATATATATACACACACAAATACACACACATATATATATACACACACACACAGGTGTATATATATATATACACACACACACACACACACATATATAATATATATAATTATACACACACACACACACATATA